GGGTACTGGAACTTAATGGGGGTGCGGGAGATTAGGAAATACAGGAATATAAGAGGGTACGGGAATTTATGGGGGCACGGGAAGGGCGGGGGGTAAGGGAACGTAAGGGGGTACGGGAATTTGATCGGGGCGCGGGAATTTAGAGAGGACGAGAGTCTGAGAGGGTACGGGAATTTAAAGGGGTACGCGAATTTAAGAAGTTGAATCACTCTCGGGGCCCCCTTGGGGCCCTCTTTGGCATGCAGTATGCTGGTACACTGCATGCTGCCACACTTCCCTGAGCAAGGCAACTCGCCCAAGCAGCTTCCATGGATGAGCTGACGGGTTGCGCGAAGCGTCAAGACTTTAGGGGTGTACATAGGCTCAAACAGACTTGCGAGGACAATACACATGTAGAGCGGGCTTGCCCGGAGGCTCGCAGAGACGGGTCCGAATGACCAGTAGGGCCCACAAGGCCCCCACAATCATAAGCTCCATGAGTAACGAAGGGCTCCCAAGGCTTAGGCCCCTGTGAGCCATAGGGCTCACAATTCGTAATGCCCCGACGTTTCAGAAGGCACATGCATTTCATCGGGCGCATAGGGCCCGCATGCCTCAAGAGACCCATGATGCCCACAGAACTCACATGGGTCGTCCAATTCTGAAGCTCAAAAAGCCCGCGCGGCCCAAAGGATTCCTCAGGCTAGTGGGGTTCAGACGGCTGAGACAGCCCATGAGGCCCACAGGGCTCACAGGGCTCATAGGGGGACACATGGTAACGAAAAGCTTGTGGGGGACAAATGGTAAGGAAAAGCTCGGGGGGGACAAATGGTAAGGAAAACTGTGGGGGGACAAATGGTAACGAAAAGCTTGTGGGGGACAAATGGTAACGAAACGCTCGTGGGGGCCAAATGGTAACGAGAAGAAGCTCGTGGGGAACAAATGGTAACAAAAAGCTCGGCGGGGACAAATGGTGACGAAAAGTGCGGGGGGATGAGTGGTAACGAAAACCTTGTGGGGGACAAATGGTAACGAAAAGCTTGCGTAGGACAAATGGTAACGAACAGGTTGTGTAGTCAAAGCCGCAGGGAGGCTCAGAGGCTCATGATGTCACTAAGCTCAGTGGACTCGTTGGCATCATAAGGCCGATGATGCCTTTGGGCTTTTGGGGCCCGACAGTGCATAGAGCTGAAAGGGTTCGTAGGGCACATCGTGCGAAAACTGCCCATGTGGCCCATTGGCTTGCGGGGCGCGACAAGCCCAGAGGGCCCGCAAGGCCCGTGGGAACCCACAAAACTCGCAGGGCCCATGGGGCGCGCAAGGCCCAGGGAGCTCCCGAAACTCATCGGCCTCACAGGGCTCAATGGGCCCATAGAAAGCCCGAAAAATAATAGGACTAAGTTTACTCGATATTCCGCCGCCGGTTGGACGCGCAACCCGGATTCCACTGGTGGTCTCTCCTTTCCCTCCCCCCCAGCTCCGGCCCATCCTTCGATGCGCAATGCGGGGGCCCATGAGGCACGAAAACGGATACACGCGCGCAGTAAGAAGCTTTGCTGTGTGATAAAGGAGGGGTGGGAGGCTGAAGGGGAGGGGTGGCATGGATATAATAAAGGAGGCATGGAGGGAGGGCGGGAAGAAGGAGGAAACGATGCTGTTTTGTTTTTTTATGTTGTTTCTCAGACGTCGGCATCGGTAACCGTATGATGACACTCTCGCTCAAAAGGGCGTTGCAGGCCCCATCCTGCGCCGCTCCGAAAAAGGACAAACGTCGTGCAACTGCAGGCCCCGCGGCACCTCGTAGCCATACCCAGCCCCTCCATTTCCTCGCCCCCCTCTGGCTACCCTAATCCGCGCCCACCCCGTGGCCCATCCCCACTGCACATGTACACGCTCTGCGCAGCTGGGCCCAGCAGGCGAGGAGAGGGGACAATCACAACAGCACAACAGCTTTCCGATCCAAAGATCTCCAACCAAGAGCCCCCCTGCCCCTGGGCAGCGCCCGCGGCAACCGCCGAGAGGAGCCCGCAAATGGAAAAAACGCACCTCCAAGGTGCTGCACTGACCCCGCCCGCGGGGAGTGCAACCCAGCGAACCCACCTCGACCTACGCCGGCGCCGCCGGCGCCGCCGCAGGAGCGGGGGCCTTGAGGACGACCTTGCGCCCGTCCTTGCGCTCCTTCTTTTTCTCCGCCAGCTTCGCCAAGCCGCCCTGCGCCCTCGCCTTCTGCTGCTCCTTGATCGGCGTGGCGTAGGCCGCCGCGTTGGCCGCCTGCATGGCGGAGTCGCTCGTCGACGCCACCTTCTTCAGCTCATCGCTCTGCTTGACGGCCTCATCCTGGAACGGCTTCGACTTGCCAGTCCAAGGCTTGAAGCGCAGCTCGTGAGGGCCCTCGCGAGCGACCTTGGAGAAGAACGACTCTGCTGGGTACGATGTCTTGCCCTTCTCAAGCTTGCACCCCATATCCGAATAGGTGTGGACGAGCTCCCACCCGTCCACAATCGGAACCTCCGTGTCCAAAGGCTTGGTGGTGCCGCTCGGCCGATGCGTGATCGTCACAGCCCTGCCGTTCTCCCAGTTGAGCACGTACAGCCCCTGAGACCAGTCAACGACGCCAGTCTTGGAAATGAAACAACCCGCGCCGTGCCCCTTCACCACGAATTGGAACCTGTCGCCAATTTGCCCACCGCGTGCAATGAGGGTTCTTTCGAGAACCGTCTGCGAAATGCAAACATCCGGAATAACGCACTGCATGCTGATGGCGAAGAACATCGTGTCAAGGTTCTTGAACAATTGAGGGTCCTTCGTAGTAGCCTCGCCCAAAGATGCGGCGGTCACCTGCAGCCGAGCGCACCAGAAAGTGATGCGCCACGTCTCATCCAAGCAGTGCATCACCGATATCGAAGTAAAGCACAAACCAACGACAACGCCAGCCTTGCGACGCTTCGCCTCTCGCTGTTCCTCCATGAAGTTGAGAGCGTCGGCACGGCCTGCAGGGTCTTCCCACGCCAGGGTGATGATGTCGCAGAGCCTCTTGCGGTTCCTCTTGGCCGCGTCATCCAAGGCGTCGTCTCCTGTCTTGCGGACGGGGGGGACGTGCTTCAGAATGGGGCACGCGACCATGTCCCGCGCGCTGCCGCTCGATCCAGCAACCATGGTCTCTGCCGGCGAAAACGGGCCGCAAACTACAGCAAGAAAGATGCCGCGAGGTTGGCAACGCACGGAACCTATCAAGAGCCTGAGCCACGCGGTAGCAGAAAAACAAAAGAAGGGAACGTGAATAATCTGGATCAGAAGTCCCACCAGCCCTTTAGGGCGTAGGTGGTCTAGGGAGTTTCCTCTTCCAACCTCCTTCTTCCCCTTCGGGGAGGGGTTTACCCCTCCCCCTACCCACTCCCCTGGACCTGGACGGGGGGGTTCGCGACGCGTTGGAGCGTCCAAGATGGCCCAAGACGGCCCCAAGAGCGCCTCGGAGAGCCTAAGATGAGCTCCAATATAGTTCAAGATAGTCCAAGATGCCTCAAGATAGCTCCCAAGATGCTCCAAGAGGCCCCAAGACCGCCCCAAGACCGCCCCAAGAGGCCAAAGAGCTTCCCAAGGAGGCCTCCAAGAAGCCCAAATCCTTCCAAAACCTTAAAAAAACAAGCCATGATGTTTGCCTTCTCGCCTTTTCGCTTCCGATGGCCATCCGGGGCCTCAAGATGGCTCCAAGATGGCCCAAGAGGGCCCCAAGAGAGGCCCAAGAGAGCCCCAAGACGGCCCCAAGAGTGCCCAAAAGCGCTCCAAGAGCGGCCCAAGAGGGCCCCAAGAGGCGATTTTAGAGGCTTTAGAGGGGCGACGCTAATTAGAGCTCCCCTCTTGTTTGATCGATGTTCTCTAAGATGGCCCCAAGAGGCGCCAAGGAGGCCCCAAGAGGCGCCAAGATGGCCCCAAAATGGCCCCAAGAGGCCCCCAAGAGGCCTCCAAGAGGGCCCCAAGAGGCCGCCATGAGGCTCCAAGAGGCCCCCAAGAGGCCCCAAGAGGCTTCCAAGAGGCCCCCAAGAGCCCTCCAAGAGGACCCCAAGCGGCCCCAGGTCCCCCCCCGAAGCACCCAAGACGCCCAAGAGCCCCCATTGACCGCCAAGAGACCCCCAAGACGCCCGAAGAGGCTTCCAAAAGGCTTCCAAAAGGCTTCCAAGAGGCATCCGAGAGGCATTCAAGATGCTTATGGCCATTCTGCTGGTCAGCGTCCTTATCCTCCTTCTTCTCCTCCACCTTCTCATCATATTCATCTTCTTCCGCATCCTCCTCCTCCACCTCCTCCTCCTCCTCTCCCCCTCCTCCTCCTCCTCATCATCATCATCCCGACCCTCCTCCTCCTCCTCCTCCCCCTTCTCCTCCTCCTCCCCCTCGTCGTCGTCCTCCTCCTCCTCCTCTTCCTCGTCCTATTCCTTATCATTTTCCACACTCCCTCATCCATCCATCCAGCTATCCTCCTCCGTCGCCTCATCCCTCCTTCGCTCGGCTCGGCTGTCCCCCTCGTTGCTCCCACACTTCCCTGGTCACCTCAGCTCGCCAGGGCGTCGTTTCTGGATGGGCTGGTGGGGATACGCGAAGCGTCAACAATTCCATCAGAAGGAGCAGTAGCAGCAGCATGACACAAGGCTGAAAAGGGACGACGAAGACGACGACGATGCGGGGGCGTCTGCGAGAAGGAAGCAAAGACTGCAGGGGCAACATCATCAGCCAGGAGAAGGCAAATCGAAGCAGGAGGACAAGCAGCAAGAGTAAACGTCGACTGCAGAAGCATGGGCTCTGTCCGCAAACCACATTTATATAACCGATCGTCCTTGTTATCCTCCTCCTCCTCCCTGCTCCTCTCCGCTTGTTCTCGCAATTCTGCCACTGCCGCCGCCCGCTCGCCACCCCTCCTTCCTCCCCCGCTCCTCCGGCTTTTTTCATTGTCCAACTGATGTGGCGCAACTACGCCAACCCGCTAAGAGCCCGGGGGGCAATCTCTCCAGAATGCTCGGGGGGCGTAGTGGGGCCCGACATATCCGCCGATGCGACGCAACGATGAACGACATTTGGATTTCCAGTTTTCCAGGGCCCAGCCCTGGATATGTATAGATTTTCTGGCCCGATGACTTGCGGCAGCCCGGCATTCCTCGTGGCCTGGCAGCGCCTTTTGGCTGCCGCCGTTTAAATCCCGCTGTTCTGCCGGGCCTTCATTTTCCAGCTGGCATGATCCCGAGGCAAAGTGTTGTGCTGCTGCGTTGTCTTGGCTCTTCTCATGTTGAACTCCATCATCCTCATCTTCCTCATCATCTTGATCAGGATGAGGATGGTGGTGGGGTGTGGGTGGGGCGAGGTCCCTGGGGGGGCTTGTGGGGAGTGGGGAGAATCTCACGCGCCTGGAGACCCACAGGGGGTCGGCGGATCGTCGTTCCAGCCCCGGGCTTCACTCGAGCCTCGGGGCAGACTCTGCGTGTGACTGCGGCGACCGTGGTCCGGATGTCTTTCATGATAGTTGACGCGTGTTATTCAATGATGGCCATGCGCGTCTTTTCATCGCCTCCCCCCTTCCAAAAATCAGCACGCGCACCCGAGCCCTTCTACTACTCTTCTTTGTTCTTCTTCATCCTCATCAGCTGGCCCCGGCGACTCAGCATGGCATCCACATACCTTTAACTTGCAGTTGCAGCCCCGAGCTCCACTCGAACCTTGGGGGAGGCACTGTGTGTGACTGCAGCTAAACAGTTTTGCTTGTCGCTGGCAGCCCCTAGCTCCGCTCGGACCTTGGGGGAGACGCACTATGTGTGACTGCTGCGCGGTTTTGCATGTCGACCCCAGCCCCGAGCTCCACTCGAACCTGGTCCCCAGCCCCTACCTTTTGCCCTCGGCCTGGAGCATGGAAAACACGATCCGTCCGGCATGAAAAAAAAATGTGAAGCCTCTTGTGGGATGCTTCAATCGGAATCCTTCTTGTGGGGGTTCAGCAGGAATCACTATGCGAAGGGAGGTGTTGGAACTCGCCAGCGCAATGCCAGCGCAATGCCAACGCAGAGCCAACGCAATGCCACACCAATGCCAAAACGATCACAGCTCAATGCCAACGCACTGCCAATGGGGGAAATCCTTTGTGGTAGATTTCAAAAGGAATCCTTCAGTGGAGGGTTTCGCATGTAATCCTTCTGTGGAGGGTGTCAGTAGGAATCCTTCTTGTAGAAGTTTTCGATCGGAGTCCTTTTGCGGAGGGTTCCATGAGGAGACTCGACAGCGCAATGCTTGCGAACTGCAAGCAGATTTGCAACGCACTGCCAAACGCAATGCCAACGCAATGCCAATGCGATGCCAAACCACTGCCAAACCAATGCCAATGCAATGCCAGCGGGGGGTTCTTTCATTCGAAACATCTCAATAGCAAGCAAGGTGTTCATAGGAATCCCTCTGTGTGTGTGGGGGGGCACTAGAACCCGCTAGCGCAATGCCAACGCGATACCAACGCAATGCCAAGCCAATGCCAAAGCGACCCCAGTTCAATGCCAATGCAATGCCAATGGGGGAAATCGTTCGTGGTCGGGTTCAAGAAGAATCCTTCTATGGAGGGCTTCGAATGGAACCCTTCCGTGAGGGAGTTCAATGTTAAGCCTCTTGTGGGATGCTTCAATCGGAATCCTTCTTGTGGGGGTTCAGCAGGAATCACTATGCGAAGGGAGGTGCTTGAATTCGCCAGCGCAATGCCAGCGCAATGCCAGCGCAGTGCCAACACATTGCCACAGCAATGCTAAAGCGACCCCAACCCAATGCCCATGCACTGCCAATGGTGGAGGCGTTTTGTTGTAGATTTCAACCGGGATCCTTTTGTGGAGGGTTTCGCATGGAATCCTTCTGTTAAGGGTGTCAGTATGAACCGTTGTTTTGTGGAGGGTTTCAATCAGAGCCCTTCTTATATAAGGTTTCGATCGGAGTCCTTCTGTGGAGGGTTCACTCGCCAGCACAATGCTTGCGAAATGCAAGCGCGCTAGCAACGCACTGCCAAGCGCAATGCCAACGCAATGCCAATGCGACGCCAAACCATTGCCAAGCCAACGCCAATGCAATGCCAACGGGGGTTTCTTTTTTTCGAAGCATCGCAATATCAATCCTTCTGCGGGTGAATTCAATAGGAATCCAGATGTGGAGGATTTCAATAGGAATCCTTCAGTTAATGGTTTCGATAGGAACCCTTCTGTAGAGGATTTCACTTTTAGAGGTGACCCCCCATTGGCCCAAGGTCCGCGATGACCAAGTTTCTTGCGCCAGGTGCGGGAAGCAGACCCACGGGAGGTGTTGCGCTCGCTGGCTCCGTTCCTCCTGCATAGATACGAGAGCAGCGAGTTCGTTGCAAGGCGTTGGGCGGGAGGTCGCCCGTGCCCCGTGCAGACGCTGGAGGCCCCACCGTCCACCCCAGCCTCCGACCCCACCTTGCTGTGTGCCGTGGGGTCTTGTGGTGTCGGAGGTGTGGATGCTGGCGGACCAGGGCCTCCAGGAAATTCAAGGGGCAGTGTACCCCACCCCGCAACAGTCAGAGTGGGGTGGGGTGTGTGTGGGGGGGGGGGGGGTACAAGGCCATTTTGAAGCTCACCAAAGAGCAGCCCCCCCCCAGGCTTCAAACAATGGCCCAGAGGGAGCTCGTGAGCCCCAGTTGTCCCCCTAGTGCGTAGGGACCAGGACTGTCCGAGGGGGCGCGCGCGCGCGGATGACGAGGATTATAGTGAGTGTGAGAATGTGGGTTCTGGTGATTCGGATGATGACGGTGATGATGCTGATGATGATGCTGATGATGATTATGTTGATGTTGTTGATTATGATGCTGATTATGATTGTGATGAATATGATGATGTTGTTGTTGATGATGATGATGATGCTGATGATGATGATGGTGACGGTGATGCTGATGATGGGGCTGATGATGTTTTTTTGATGATGGTGATGATGCTGATGATGATGCTGTTGATGATGATGAAGATATTGATGATGGTTGCGGTGGTGGTTATGGTGATTATGATGACGATGAGGAGGATCATCAGGATGATGACGATGATGCTGATGAGGGTGATGATCGTAACGGTGATGATGGCGATGATGGTGATGCTGCTGACGATGATGGCGATGCTGTTGTTGATCATGCTGATGCTGATGATGTTGATGATGAGTCAGCGTGTCCCCCGTACCTTGTCCCCCTCTTCTCAGATTCCCGGTGTAAAGCTTTTTGATTTCATGACGTGGACCCCATAGGTCTGGCCCCTTTCCCAGGGACCAGCTTTTCATCCTTCGTTTTTTTGGCGATCCCGCGGCCCGGCAAAGGCCCCGCCAAGAGGTTGAACATTGCGAGAGCCTCCCGTCATACTTTCTCACGACGCGAGGTGGTCTGGGTTTTACTTTATTTTCTTTGTTGCAGCGACAGTCCCAGCTACGCAGCGGTATATCAGGCGCTGTGGGCTGCCGCGCAACGAGTGGACGAACATAGTACATAGGGAAGCATTCCGTGCCAATCTGAGTTCTGACCTTGTGCATGATCAGCGCATGTGGAAGCGCAGTGCAGTACTGTCTGTGTCCACGCGCGCGTGTGTGGATGTGTGTGTGTGTGCACATGTGTTCATTCTTCTACCCGTCTCCTCATTTTTCGGCGGCGAGCCGGGGCCGGGCCTTCTCAGAAGGCTGGGAAGTCCCACAGCCTTCTGAGCATTCTTCCCCGCGCGGACCCGCAGACACAGACAGCTTCGCAGAAGGCGCGACGGCTTCCGAGAAGCCTCGCCGCCTTCTGAGAAGGCCTTTTCCTTCTCACTTCCCCCCCCCTCGCTCGCCGCCGAGTCTTCCTCTCGCGTACGGTAGCTTCGTGTCGTGTCGACCGGCGGCGACCCCGCCGTCGGCGTTCAACGTTGAACGCCGCCGGCGACCCAGAATCGGTCGATGCTGAACGATCTGACGTTTCGGAAGCGGCCGATGTCGGCACGACACGAACCTGCCGTAGCGCCGCCCCCCCCCGCGATGGAGGGCTTCTCCAAAGGGCTCAGGCGACCCGTCCTCCTCCTCCTCCTCCTCCTCCTCCTCCTTCTCCTCCTCTTCCTCCATTTCCTCGTCCTCGTCCTCCTCCTCCTCCTCCTCCTCCTCCTCCTCCTTCCTCCGCCTCCTCCGCCTCCTCCTCCTCCTCCTCCTCTCTCCTCCTCCTCCTCCTCCTCCTCCTCCTCCTCCTCCTCCTCCTCCTCCATCTCCTCCTCCTCGTCCTTCTCCTCCTCCTCCTCCTCCTCCTCCTCCTCCTCCTCCTCCCATCTCCTGGGTTTGCTCTGCATGGGATTCGAGAGTAGAATAGAGTTGTTCGCTCCGCAGCCTTTCTCTCATACAGGGAGGGGCGTCCCGGGGCCCGGGCTCTGCATGGCCTTGGCGCTGCGTCCGCGGCACGCTGCAGCCGGCGTGGTGGGCGCGGTCTTGCTCAGGCACGCCGACCTGGTGTACCAGACCTTCCTGCAGCAGGCCGGGCTCTGGCAGGGCGCCGGCCACGCGGGCGCCGAGGCGGCTGCCCAGGCTGCCTACTCGGCCGCGGACGCGGCCAGCCTGGCCGCCGCGGCGGCGGCAGCGGCGGGCGAGGCACTCGGGCAGCACTGTCCGGCCTTGTCCGACTGGAGCGGTCCGCCGGAGGGCGTGATCTGCCCGGAGGCGCCGGCCTGCACCTGCTCGTGCCCGGAGGCGCCGGAGTGTCCGCCTGCGCCGGAGAGTGACGCGAAGGAGGGCCTGTGGCACCTGGCTGGAGGCGCGGTGGGCCACGTCGTCCTGGTGCTGGGAGGCCGACTCTGCGCCTGCCGCCGCCGAGATGGCGTCCGAGAGCGGGCGCCGCCGAGCCCCCCTTCGGGAGGTGCGCCCGACGGCCCCGGCTCCCCCAGGCGTGCCGCGCTGGCAGGGCCTGGCCGCCCTGCTCTTGGCGACAGGTCACGTCGCCGTGGAGGAGGAGTTCTGCAATGAGCTCCTCGTGGGGCGCTACTTGGCTGTTTTCTATACTGATGATAATGTGTGGCATGAGCGCCTAATTTTGTTCCAGGTCGACGCCCAGCACTGGGTCGTGTACACGCCCGACGGAGACATGTACATCGAGAGTGTGCTGGCCGGGGATCCTGACTCGGGTCCGTGCCGCGCGGCCATCCTGCCATCCGACGGCACCCTCCCGTTCTTCCTCCGCGGCAAGACCTACAGGTTCCGCGATTTCCCGGACGAGCAGCAGCTCCTCGACCTGATCAACGAGGGGCACGAGCTCGCCGTGGCCGAGGGCGGCGAGGCCGTGGGCCCGACGGCGTACTCCGACGCCATGGGGCAGAGGCAGCCGCTGGAGTTGCACGAGGGCACCTACCGGCGTGCGCGCGGCCGCCCCTTGCCGCCCCTGCCGCCTCCCCTTGAGCCTCCAGAGGGCGGAGACCTCCTCGTGGGGGGCACCCGCACTCCCGAGGTCATCGACGCGGATGTGGAGCCGGTGAGCGAGGGGGGCCGCTGGGTTTCCCTCGTCACGATCGGCGCCGTGCGCCGCGGCGACCCCGTGGTGCTCGAGGTTGGCGA